GCGGGAGCCACGAAGGGCATATAATGCGGGGCCACAATGGGCAGCGACGGGGCCACGGAGGGCAGCAACGGGGCCAAGAAGGGCAGCGACGCGACTCCTGAGTGTCGAGGAGCGGCATCTGAATAAATTGTAAGGAAGTATCAGGCGGGAGCCGCGAGAGCGCGATTCTTCAATAAATTGTGAGGAAGTATAAGGCGGGAGCCGCTGTTGTTGTAAACCGGGGGCCAACGACACAGTTTGACGCTCAAGACTTTCCCTGATAACAAACAGGGTGCGAGCCCCGGGAAGGGCACTTCAATCGAAAAAACAATGTGCACCGGACGGGGAGGACAACAATAATTATTCTTCAGACATGAGAGAACAACAACAACAACAACAACAACAACAGCAACAACAACAACAACAACAACAACAACTACTACTACTACTACTACTACTACTACTACTACTACTACTACTACTACTACTACTACTACGACTACTACTACGACGACGACGACGACGACGACGACGACGACGACGACGACGACGCTACTACTACTACTACTACTACTACTACTACTACTACTACTACTACTACTACTACTACTACTACGACTACTACTACTACGACTACGACTACGACTACTACTACTACGACTACGACTACTACGACTACTACTACTACTACTACTACGACTACTACTACTACTACTACTACTACTACTACTACTACTACTACTACTACTACTACTACTACTACTACTACTACTACTACTACTACTACTACTACTACTACTACTACTACTACTACTACTACTACTACTACTACTACTACTACTACTACTACTACTACTACTACTACTACTACTACTACTACTACTACTACTACTACTACTACTACTACTACTACTACTACTACTACTACTACTACTACTACTACTACTACTACTACTACTACTACTACTACTACTTAGTACTACTACTACTACTATTACTACTGCTACTACTACTACTACTACGACTACTACTACTACTACTACTACTACTACTACGACTACAACTGCGAGTACTACTACGACTACAAGTACTACTACTACTACTACTACTACGGGAATAAATTGTGAGAAAGTATCAGGCGGAAGCCGTTGTCGTTGTAGTTCGGGGCCCAACAACCCAGTGTGGTGACACCCAACATTCCCTCATGAAAAACAAGGTGCGAGCCCTAGCATTTAAATCCGCCGACCCCTTGGGGATCATCGGCGTGTGAAATTTTTCCCCCTCCCCAAACCCCTCCCCCTGGAGCCCGGTCCGGTCGATTTGGAGGGGGGGGGCCGTCCGGCCAAAGCTCATCAGGGGGTCCGGCCCTTCCCGGGCTCCTTTTGGAGGTCCACGACAGCTTCTGGGGCCGCCCAAGAGGCCCCCAAGACGGTCCAAGAGGACCCCGAGACGCCGAAAGATCGTTCCAAGACGCCTAAGCCGAAGACAGCCCAAGAGGCCGCCAAGACGTTCCAAGAGGCCTCCCAGGAGGCCTCCAAGAGGCCAAAATCGTTAAATCCCCTTTGGGAAAACGTACATGTCTAGCACATACGATTTTTCTGCCTTCACAACGCGGAAGCCCTTCCAAGATGCCTCCAAGACTGCCCCAAGACGACCCCATAGGCTCCCAAGAAGCCCCCAACACGGCACAAGAGGCACCCAAAACGACCCAAAAGGGCTCCAAGACGGCCCAAGAGGGGCCCGAAAGGGGGACCACGAAACGAACATTCCAGCCGTCCGCCCCTAGAGGCTCCCAGGAGGCCACAAGAGGCTTCAAAAAGGCGTCCAGACGCCCCAGAAGGCCCCCAAGAGGCCCAAAGAGGCTCCCCAAAGGCCTCCAAGAGGCCCCAAGGGGCTCCAAGAGGCCCCCAAATCGGCTTCGATATACGATGGTTCGGCTTTCACAGCGCGGAAGACCCTCCAAGATGCCTCCAAGACCGCCCTAGGACGGCCCCATAGGCTCCCAAACCAGAACGGACACTTCGAACCTTCGGCTCCAAGACGCCCCCAACGTGCCCCAGGGACCCCCAGAAAGCCCCCAAGAAAAACAAAGGGGTCGGCGGTGTGGCGTAAGCCTAAGATCGAAAATGGTTACCAGGGAGGGAGGATCAACAATAATGATTCTTTGGAAACGAAGACTCAGCAACAACAACAGCAGCAATAACAACCTTTTCACGACTGTTCGCTCCTATCTGCTCCCAATCAATACGTATATCCCAAACCCTCGGTACCCGCCCCCGTCGTCTTCGATCGTACAACCTTGGGAGCATGTCTTCCTTACCTGCCAAGTGCATTCAGTGCAGCCCCTAAAACAAGGGAAGAGAGGACGGGTGGAAGGAGGAGGGAGAAGAATGGAGCACGAGAGAAATTAGCAGGAGGGGGGCAAGGAGCAGAAAATACGTGGCAGAACCAGTCGGGCAGATCGGGTGGGCACACCCATAGCGGGCAGGTCGGGAAGGCGGGCCCAGGCGACGAGGTCGAGCAGGCGGGTTGATGAAGCGTGCGTCCTGCATGAATAACGAGGAAATCTCGAGTGATAGCGCGATTCCCAAATAAATCCTGAGAAAAGCCAAAGCGAGAGCGTGATTCCTGAGCGCCGAGGCCGCATCGTCTGAATGAATTGCGAAGAAATCCCACGCGAGAGCGCGATGCGTACCTGAATTGTGAGGAAGTCCCGTGCGAGAGCGCGATTGGGGAATAAATTGTGAGGAAGTATCAGGTGGGAGCCCCTGTTGTTGTAAACTGAAGGCCAGGGGCACAGTTTGAGCCCCGTGACTTTCCCCGACAAAACCAAGGTGCGAGCCCCAGGGGGAGCACTTCAAGGGAAAAAATACAGTGGTCACCAGAGGGGGGATCAACAATAATTTTTCTTCAATAATGGGAATTCAACAACAATCATTTTAAGACTATTCGCTTATCTTCCCGCGTGCCATTCAACACGTCTATCTCAAACCCTCGATACCCGCCCTCTTCGTCTTCGATCGTGCTCCCATTAGGGGTATATCCTTCTGACCTGCAACGTGTACTTCGCGCAGTCCCTAAGACAAGTGAAAAGAGGACGGATGGAAGGAAGGAACAAGGGGGAGGGAGGAGGATGGAGCACGAGAGAGAGTAGCAGGAGGGGGGTTACGAACAGAAAACACGTGGCAGAACCAGACGGGCAGATCGGGCGGGCAGACCCTATCGGGCCGGTCGGGTAAATGTCAAAATGTCGCACATTCGTTTCAATAATGGCAAAAGGTTCACGGATGAGGGCGGGCGGTTTCCGAAATATGGCTCTCTCCTCGCCGTCGCGCAACTTTGTCCTAAAGCTTGTCAAGGAGTTTCACGGATGGGCGACGGTACCTTTTCAAAATGTAGCTCTTGTTTCAGCGCCGCGCATATTCGTCTTAAGAACTCACAGAAGATTCAAAAATTCACACGGCTGGCGTCCAAGAACTTGTGCTTGGGAACGATGTAGGACTTGCAGGGCGGAACAGTTACGTTCGTTCGCAATCTTGAAATCCCAGGACTGGTGTTCTGGCACGGTTTTCTGTGAAAATGAACCCCTGCAGGCACCTATGAAAAGTAAATGTGGAGAGAGGGTTTACTGCAACGTCGTTCATGAGTCATGGGTTTGACTGGTTATCATCCTCCTCCTCCTCCTCATCATCGTCCGTCTCCTCCTGTTCCTTTTTTTCGTGTTTACTATTACCATGTGCATTATTAGCTGCACTCTTCTTCTCATCTCAATACTACTCTTGTCACTTATCTTATTAGTATTGCTCATTATCCTCCTCTTATTCCTCCTGCTCTTCCTCCTTATCCTCCTCCCCCTCCTCCTCCTCATCATCATCCTCATACTCCTCCTCCTTCTCGTCCTCCTCCTCCTCCTCCTTTTCCTCCTCCTCCTTGTCCTTCTCCTCCTCCTCCTCGTCCTCTTCCTCCTCCTCCTCCTCCTTCTTCTCGTCCTCCTCCTCCTCCTCCTATACTTATTCTTAATTACAATATACTCTTAGTCCCCCCCTTGTCCGGCCGATAGCAACCCCATCCGGGCCCTCCCATCCTGACTGGTAAAAAATCAATCAAACGTTCCAGCTTTTCCTCTCAACATGGCCCGTCTTGTCGTCGACGATGCGAAATGCAGGGCAGGAATGAGACGCGGCGCACATCGCGCGCGGATGTCTGGGGCAACCCCAAGCAGGAGGGGCCATCCGACCTATCAAAAACTTCTAGAAAGTCGACATGTTGCTTCTCGGCGAAGATTTTCTTGTCGTCGGCTTTGCGAAATGCGTGGCAGGAATGGGGCGCGGTGCACATCGCGCGCGACAGGGCGAAATGTCGCTCTCGCCTCGGCGCCGCGCGCATGTTTTCTGAAAAGTTGCGCTGCCGCTAAGGCGCGGTGCACATTTTTCGCTCGCCAATTCGTCGAGCGCCTAGGGCCCCCTGGGACCTCCCAGGGTCTCCTGGAACATCCTGGGGCTTTCTGGAGTCCACAGGGCCTCGTGAATCCTCCTGGGGCCTCCTGGGGCATCCTGGGGTTTCCTGGGATTCCCAGGGGCTTCCTGGCACCTCCTAGGGCTTCCTGAAGCCTCCTGGAACCTCCTGGGGCTTCCTGGGCCCTGCTGGAGCCTTCTGGGGCTTCCTGGGGTTCGCTGGGGCTTCCTGGGACCTCCCGTAGCCTCTGGAGGCTTCCTGGGGCCTCCTCGGCTCGTGCTGAAATGCCAGCGCAGTCTTTGAGACGCGCCAAGAACTTCCCATCGGTAGCCGCCATCGCGGCTGCACCAGCTGTGGCAAACCACCTTGCCGATCTGATTTCGGCCCCCAGTTGCGCCAGCACTGTTTCTTATGTTGTGGGAGGGCGGGAGGGAGTGGGCATGCCATGCTTGACTCGCTCGATCTGGCCCTCCTCCTCCAAATCCGTCGAGGGCGACGACGACGACGACGACGACGACGACGACGACGACGACGACTGCGACGACTGCGACGACGACGACGATGCCGCCTGCCCCGCAAAAGCGGCAGCACGCCAGGCCGAAGGCATTGCACCCGAGCCCGCCAGAAGGCAGACACCTCTCGTCGAGGTAGGCCGCGATCTCGCCGGGGCTGCTGACGGGGCGGGGCGAAGAGGAGCGCGGCTCTCCTCCGCTTTCCCCTCCCGTCTCCCCGTCTCCCCCTCCGCCCTCCCGCCCCCCGCCCTGGCTCACCCCGCTGCCTGGCCCACTCCACGCCCACGGCTCAGGAGGGAAAGAAACACACAGACACAATGAATCGGCGATTCCCCAGAAAATATGGGAAAATATCGGAAGTGGGACGAAAACCCAGAAGATATGGGAAAATATTGGGAATCTTTTGATTTGCGTGTATTGATTTGTGTGTCCTGGGGCCCCTTCAACGGCCTTGCGGCCGCAGTGGCGGCCCTGCAACACCCCTATATAGGCGGGCTGCCCGCGCGCCAGGGGGCCATAGCTGCTGGGTCGCCGTCCGCGGCCCTGCCCGACCTATAGGGCCCAGGACCGCAGCTGGGCCGGGGCCGCAGTGAAGGGGCCCCAGGACACACCAATAAATGCACACAGATAAAAGGAGCCCCCTTAGTTTCCTAGAAATCTTCTGGGTTTCTGTCTTCCCCCCAATATTTTCCCCCCATATTTTCCCATATATCCCTGGGAGTGGACGATTAATGGTGTCTGCGTGTTTCTTTCCCTCCTGACGTGGATGGGGGGGGGGCGTGCGGCCTTCGGCCTCGACACAGCTGGGGCCGCCCTGGCCTCTGCTCGAGCTGCACTGGGCCAGTACTGGGGCCGCACTGAATGAAGGGGCCCCAGGACACACAAATAAATGCGCACAGATAAAAGGAGCCCCCATAGTTTCCTCTATTTTCTGGATTTTTGTCTTCCCCCCCACTTCCCATATTTTCCCATATCTTCCTGGGAGTGGACGGTTCATGGTGTCTGCGTGGTTCTTTCCCTCCTGACATAGATGGGGGGGGCGGTGTGCGGCCCTCGGCCTCGACACAGCTGGGGCTGCACCGGCCTCTCCTCGCGCTGCACTGAGAGCCAGCACTGGGGCTGCACCGAACCAGTGATGGGCTTCCCTCGGCCCCGCGAGGCCCCGCGGGGCCAGCGGCGGCGCCGCCGCCGCCTGCCCACCCACTGTTGGGATGGGCGCCGTGATGGGCGCGGGCGCTGGCGCGTCGGCCCAGCTAAGCCCACCTCCCGCTGGCGCTGCGCCCCGCTGCTGCTGGAAAGCCGCCGGCCTGGCCAACGACGCGGGCTGAATGGCTGCCGGAGGCGGAGGCGGAGGCGGAGGCGGAGGCGGAGGCGGAGGCGGAGGCGGAGGCGGAGGCGGAGGCGGAGGCGGAGGCGGAGGCGGAGGGCGGAGGGCGGAGGGCGGAGGGCGGAGGGCGGAGGGCGGAGGGCGGCCGTGGTCCAGGGGGCCGGGTCGCGACGCGGGACCCTCGGCCAGGTCCGCGGGGCACGCCTCGGCGAGGTCGCAGGCGGGCCCGCGAAGGGCGACCTCTTCCGCCATCCGACGAGGCGGCCGAGCCGCATCTCCTGCCAGAATAATACTCGACGGGCCAAAGACCCGCGCGCCGCTGTTCGGCAGCTTGCTGTAGCCCCATGGGCGCATGAAGCGCTTGGCCCACACACGAGCAACCCGTCTATGGCGTTTGTGTGCTTCGCGCCCCCGTCGGCCTCGCGCCGCGAGATCGCGCCGCTCGCGCGGTTGACGCACATTCCCACCCGCCCGTGCACGCGCGCGCGCGTTGGGCGCGGCGCCGAGGACCTCGACGCTGGATCACTCCTCCTCCTCCTCCTCCTCCTCCTCCTCCTCCTCCTCCTCCTCCTCCTCCTCCTCCTCCTCCTCCTCCTCCTCCTCCTCCTCCTCCGCGCCCACCATGGCGCACTTGGTCTCGTGGACCTGCTGCCCGCAAAGGTAAGCAAAAATCGATGTTTCGCCGGCGAGTTGCCCAAAGGGAGCTCCGCTGCCGAACAAGCTCAGCGATCGCGCGATCTCCTCTGGCCCCGTCGACGGCGCGCAGCACGAGGGGAACTCCGACTCGCCCTGCGACGCGCCACCGGCCCCACGCCGCCCCGCTCGCCAGGCCTGCCCCATGCCCGACGTGGTCCGGCCGCGAACCCCACATGGAGCATGTGCGCCCAGTCGGGCTCACCTCGCCCACGCACGCGCACGCGTTGGGCGCGGCGCCAAGGATCTCAGCGCCGAACCGCCCCCTTCCCGCGCCCGCCGCGGCGCACCTGATCTCGTAGACCGGCTGCCCGCAGAGGCCTGCGGCAATCCCCACTTCGTTGGCGAACTGCCCCAAGGGGAACCCGCTGCCGAACAGGCACAAACAGTGCGCCCCCTTCGACGGCGCGCAGCACGGGGGGGAACCCGACACTCGCCCTGCGCCTGCGCCGCACCACTCGCTCCACGCCGCCCTGCACGCTCGGCCTGCTTCGTGCCCGACGCGGTCCGACCACGGAGCCCAGACCTGGAGCACCTGCGCGGGCTCGCGCTCGCCTCGCCCATGCGCGCACACGCCGGGCGCGGCGCCAGGGATCTCGACGCTGGCCCACTCCTCCTCCGCGCCCACACCACACGGGCGACCCTGACCTCGTGGACCAGCTGCCCGCACGTCTGCAGCAAACCCCCACTTCGTTGGCGAAATGCCCCAAAGGAGTTCAGCTGCCGAACAGAAACAACGACTGCGCAATCTCCTCGGGCCCCATCGACGGCGGGCAGCACGAGAGGACTCCCGCCACTCGCCCTGCGCCGCACCGCTCGTCCCACCCCGCCCCGCCTGCTCGCCACCGCCCCATTCGCCTCCCCACCCCAGGCCCCACTCACCCCACTTCAGCCTGCCCAACTCGCTTCGCCTAGCTCTATTCACCCCATGTCGCCCCACCCCACTCGCTTCCCACCCCCCCGCTCGCTTCGCACCGCTCCACTCGCTTCCCACTTGTTTTCCTCTGCCCCCCCACTCACACCGCTTCGCCCTACCCGCTCGCCTCGCAGTGCCCCGTTCACCCCACATCGTCCCGCCCCGCTCGCTTCGCACAGCCCCGATCGCTTCCCGCCGCTCCCATCTACCCCATTCACCCGCTTTCGCCCCAGATTACACGCATCGCACTGCCCCACTCCACTCACTCCACTTCGCCTCGCCCCACTCGTTTCGCCATGCGCGTTTCACACTGCCTCGCCCACTCATTTCGCCCAGGCTAACTCACCCCACTTCGCCCCGCCCCACTCGCTTCGCCCGACCCCATTCACCCCCGTTTCGCCTCGCTCGGCGCGCTTCGGCCTGCACGACGGCCCCGCTCGCACCCCGGTGGGGGCGGCACGAGCGCCGCGCGCGCTGCACGGGGCGCGCGGGCCGCGGAAGCAGCGGGCGCCGCAGGCTGCGGGCGCCACCAGCCGCGGCCACCGCGCGCGCTGCAAACGGCGGTCGGGGCACACGCGCCGCGCGCGCTGCAAGCCGCGGGCGGCGCGGGTCGCGGAAGCGGCGGTCAGCCGCCTCAGGTATGATGTCTCAGGTGGCCCGCGCGGTTTCGACGCACAAGTTCGGCACGCATGGCGCCTGTACAACTTGGCATCACACTATTGACGAGTTCGTTGTTCGTCGCGCGTAATCCACTCAACCCTGCCCGATATGAACTACATTAAATTGCTTTATCATCATTTGCACCACCTTACGTTGCCTGTCATTGCTGGGCCTGGCCGCGCCTAAAGCAACATTGTTTTATCGTGCCCTGCATTGCCTTACGGTACGTAACCCTCCGCTACGTGTCCATATGTTATCTTGCGTTACCGTCCTTTTGGCTCCCCATCCCTTAACATGATTCCCGATTGATACATGCGCCAATTTGTTGCCATAAAACTCGCCGGTTGAGACAGGATCCGGGGGAGGCATCCGACCAGGCAAAACACACACACACACACACACACACACACACACACACACACACGCACGCACGCACGCACGCACGCACGCACGCACGCACGCACGCACGCACGCACGCACGCGCGCGCACGCACGCACGCACGCACGCACGCACGCACGCACGCACGCACACACACACACACACACACACACACACACACACACACAACCACTGTTATTCGTTACGACATGCACATGTCGCCGTCCACGTTGCAAACTGCGCGGCGGGAGTGGGACAAGGCGCACATCCCGCGGGAAAGCCAACATGTCGTTATCGCCTCGGCGCCGCGCTCACGTTTCCAGAGAGCAGAGTTCATGCCCGAACGCGGCCCACCCTTTCCCAACGCAACTTCGTCGACGCGCGAGCAAACGAAAATGTCGCGTTCGCTGAGGCGCCGCGCAGATTTCGCATACAACTGGTGCCCCCGCATCGGCGCAGCGCATGCGTTCACAAGCCAATTAAGGGGGGGGGGGGGCGGGCGAGTGGGCGACTTGTCGCCCTCGCCGATTTCCACGCCTATGTCGCTCGGAGGTGGCGTTCCAGCGCGGGCGGCGCATGGCTCGCTCGCCGAATCGCACGGAATCGACAGCGGCAGCGAGGCCGCGCGAGAGCGGGCGAAATGCCGACCCCGCCAACTCGCCGCGCAGCTTGTGAGTGAAAGTGGCAGTGCAGTGTCAGCGCGGCGCATGCTTCGACAGGAGGTCTAACGGGGGTCTCTTTCCTCTTCCACAACCCCTCTTCTCTTCGGGGAGGGGAACCCTCCCCCTCCCCTCCCTCTGTTTTTTTCGAGGGGGCGATGTGTCGGAGGGTCTTTTTCGGCCTCTGGGAGGGCCAATTTTTGACACCACCCACGAGGATCGTGACCTCCGATGGGGGGAGGGAATTAGAGCACCCCTCCCTCTCGCGACCGACCTCGTGACCGACCGCTTCCAAGATGGCCCCAACAAGCGTTCCAGGGCCCCCAAAGAGGCCCCCAAGAGGGCTCCAAGAGCGCCCCAAGAGGCAACAAGAGGCCTCCAAGAGGCACCCGAGAGGCACCGAAGAGGCCCCCCAGCGGCCTCAGAGAGCCCAAGACGACCTCCAAGATGGCTCAGATATCCTAAGCTGGCTCAAGATGGCCCCCCATCTGCTCCAAGCGGCCCGAATACAGCTCCAAGACGGCTC